CCATGCCCTGCCATGCATGGACAGTGATCCCCTTCTCCCAGCTCCAGGGGCCAGCTTGTGGGCTGACTTCAACAAGGGCAGTCAGTGGTCCTGAGACAAGGGGCTGCTCTCTATGTGAAGCTCTCTGAACCTGGATGGGGATGAGAGCAGAGACCTCAGTGAGAGGCTGGAAGAAACAGGTGAATTCAGGAAGAACCCAGGAGTTCTGGGTCTTGGCCCAGACCTTCCTGGGGTCCAGCTCCTTTCCCAGGTTTGTTACTCAGATGCCCCAAGATAGAGCCCCACATAACCCTGATCTTCAGAAGTCAGCCTGATCAGTAAACTTGCTTTGTGACAGCTCCCTGGAGGGCATGGCCTGTAGTCAGGTGTCTCAGGCCAACAGGCAGGCACCTGGAGGTGGATGGAAATCTGGTTCCCGGCTCTCTAGAATCTAGCTTTTATATAGAATCCTTTGATTTGTTCTGTGAAGTTTGGATTCAGTCAAAGGGCCACACTTAAGGACCTAGTCCTAGAGGGCCACGTGTAGCCTCGAGGCTGAAGGTCCCCCCCCCCCCGACTGCTAGATAGTTCTTAGGTTGGTACACAGGGCAGCCCCCTTCCAGAATCCAGAGTCCCACCCTCTGGATAAGCAATGCATCAGAGTCAGAGTTTGCCTTCAGCCCCTCCCCCACCTCCCCCCCAACAATCCTGCCCTTCCCCCTTTCCTGTCACCCCAGTTATACCTTCTTCATGCTGCCCTCTGGCTGCCTGGCCCTGTGATATAGTAATTTGGATGGGGTCATTTAAAATGGCACAGTATAGAGGGCACTGGGCAACCAGGTAGAGAGCCAGGCCTGGAGTCAGGAAGACTCCTCTTCGTGAGTTCAAATCTGGCCTCAGACACTTACTAGCTGTGTGACCCTGGGCAAGTCACTTAACCCTGTTTGCCTCAGTTTCCTCATCTATAAAATGAGCTGGAGAAGGAAATGGCAAAGCATTCCAGTATCTTTGCCAAGAAAACCCCAAATGGTGTCACGAAGTTAGGCATGACCTGAAAAATGACTGAACAATAATAGAGGGCACTAGGTAGATTTGGAGTTAGGAAGACCTGGGTTCAAATCCTGCTTTAGGCTGCTTCATGCTGTAAGAAAGATTTTAGGGGGTTAGGCTTCCACAGCAGATTAAGAAATTCCAAGATCTTGGAACCAATCAGAAAGTAGAGCAAACAACTAGTTTCTTTTTTTTTAATTTTAATTTTTTAAGTTTTTTTCCATATGCTTTTGAGTTGAAAATTTTTCTCCCTTTTCTCCCCCCCACCCTCCCTAAGAAGGCGCACAATCTGACATAGGCTTTACATTTACATACCCATTAAACATATTTTCACATTAGTGAAGTTGTAAGTAAAAATTAAAACCAATAGGAGGAACCATCAGAAAGATGAAACAAAACTCAACAGAAGGTAAAAATAAATGATAGCGATTTGACTTCCATAGTTCTTTCTTTGGATGTGGACAGCATTTTCCATCCCGAGGCCTCTGGAGATGTCTTAGATCCTCGTAATGCTGAGAAGGGTTCAGTTTAACATTCTTAGTCATTGCATAATGTGGCTGTTATTGTGTACAAAGACCTCTTGGTTCTGCTCACTTCACTCTGCATCAGACCATATAAGTCTTCCCAGGTTTTTCTGAAGTCAGCCGTTCATCGTTTCTTGTAGCACAATAGTAAACAACTAGTTTCTTAAGAGCGAGTGCTGGAGGCTAAACCGGTTGCAGTCAACTGGTTCGAAGACCGGCTTCGACAGGGCAATGGCTCTTCTCCACTGCGCTTGCTTAATAAGCTTATTGAATATGAACAAACACACCCCAAGGGTGGAGATAGCCACCATTTTTGAACATGGGACCCGTGACATGCACGGAGTTAACAGAACATGGACGAACATGCTATGGGCTGTCCAGGAGGGGAGTAACTCAGTCTAATAGGAGCCCTGATGGGTGGAGTATGGATCTTACTAATGGCTTAAAAGTTGATTCTACCACTGAACCAGTGCCCAAGTGCTCCTAGAGTTCACTTCACTCACTGTAGCAGGTTTTTATTTCAGATTTTTCTAACTGCTGTGTGACCTTGGATGAGTCACTTAGTGTCTCTATGCCTCTGATTTCTCATCTGCAAAACGAGGAGGCTGGACTCAAACACATCTAAGGTCCTTCTAGCTGTAAATCTATAATCCTAGGTTCCGCCGTTGCTCAGGCTTTGGAATCAGGGGACTTGGGTTCGAGACCCACCCCTGATGGTTAATGCATGTGTAATTTTGGGCAAGACATTTAAATGCAATGTCCAGATCTAACCTGGTGTTCATCCTGAGCCCTTCAGCAGTGACTGGCTTCCCCAGGAGTGGGTTTAGCATCCCATGTGTCCTCCAATCCACCCTCCCTCCCCTTACACACACACACACACACACACACACACACACACACTCATGCCTGTGTGGGCGAATATTGAAGGGTTAGGGTTAGAAGGACCTATGGCCTCTGAGGTTCTCTCTAGATCTGTGATCCCATTAGCCAAAGGTTCTAATCCGTTTTGGGTCCTGTACCTCTATGGCAGGCTGGTAAAACCTATGGAGCCCTTCTTGGAATAATGTTTTAAAATGTGTAAAATACCCAGGATTACAGAAGGTCCTATTCCATTGCACTATTTTATAATATATACATGTCATCACCATCAAGAAACATTTATTAAGTACCTACTCTGTACCAGACCCTGTGCTAAGTACTGAGGCTAAGAAGAGAGGCAAAAGACAGTTCTTGCCCTCAAGGAGCTTACAATCTAACGGAGAAGACCAGCAAACACATATATGCAAACAAGCTGTATACAGGATGAGTAGGAAATAATTAAGAGAGAGAAAGCACTAGCATTAAAAGGGGTTGGGGAAGGCTTCCTATAGAAGGTAGAATTTTTAGACTTAAAGGAAGCCAAGGTGGTCAACAGTTGAAGCAGAGGAGAGAGAGAGCATTCCAGGCCTGGGGGAAAGACAGAGAGAATGCCAAGAGCTGAAACTGTGGAGGGTCTTGTTCTTGGAACAGCCTGGAAGCCAGTGTCTCTGGACTGAAGAGTACATGTGGGGGAGGTAAGGTATAACAAGACTGGAAAGTTAGGAGGGGGCTGGGTTAGGAAGGGCTCTGAATGCCAAATCAGTATTTTGTATTTGAGCCCGGAGTTGATAGGGAGCCATTGGAATTTATTGCATAAGGGGGTGACATGGACAGACCCGGGCTTTAGGAAAATCGTGTTAGTGTCAGAATGAAGGGTAGACCGGAGTGGGGAGAGCCACCAGCAGTCTAGGTATGAGGTGATGAGGGCCGGCACTAGGCGAGTGGTAGTATCATTATAATAGGAGATGATATGAGATGACATGACATGACATGACATGACATGACATGATATAATTTGAAATGATACCATTATAATATGAAATTATATGTAATATGATGAGATATAATACAATATAGTATGATAGGGTATGATATTATATGATGATATAGGATATAGCACAGCACATTATATTATCTATCGTATTATATTTTTAAAATTTTTTCCCATTCAAAGCCATGGACACCACCATGAAGAGCCTGAGTCCCACGAGCCTGTTTTAACCCATTTCCGGATACCCCAACAATGTCTGTGTGCTGGCAGATGGTGTTTGTAATAATAACAACTCACTCTATGAACTTGTAAAGTGTTTTCCATGCATCAACCCATTTGAGCCTCAGGGCTACACTGCCCTAGGTTCAGTGGTTCTTACTGCCATCTTACAAATGAGGAAACTGAGGTTCGGAGAGGTGAAATTGCTCCTCCCTCTAACACAGTGCTGAATAGCTTTGCTTTCTAGAAAGCAAGCCTCGGCTGGAATGGACAGTGTTTTGGGTAGTGGGGGAGCAGAGGAAGCCCCTAAACCAGGTCTTCCAGGTCAGCCTCCAGGCTTATCCTCTGAGGCTTTTCCTTCTAAAGCCGTTGTGTGCCAAAAGTGGCTGGCTCACCCCCTGCCCAGCATCCCACCCCCACCCCAGCTCCTGCTAGGCTCCCAGGCCCCTCCCTACTTCAGAAGGACAAGGGAGTCTCAGGCAATGATTCAGGGCCAGTCCGGGTAAGGTGAGTCCTTGCCATGTCCTTTGTAAATGAGTAAGCTCGTGCCCAGGCAGCCTCCATGGGTGCCTCCTGGGACTCTGCAGAATTGGTCCCTTTGTCTGCAAGCTGCACAGCTTTTGCTGAGTCACCGCCACATGGAAGCCATTCTGGGAGCCCGGCCAGAGCTGAAGGTCCGGCTTGGGCACCTCCCCCAAAGAGCCAGGCCCTCTGCAGAGAGGGAGCCCTGGGAACCAGAAGTACTCAGAGGCAGAGATTGTGATGGCACCAAGGAGGCCAGGCGGCCAGACAGCCCCTCCTTCCCAGCTTGCCAGCAGCACACCCTCCATGCCCACGTGATGATGACTCCTCTTTCCTCACAATGGCTCCATCCTGAGAACGTCCTCCCCTGTCCTGGCCCTTCTCCGCTGCAGAGACACCTACCTCTAGACTCATGCAGCCCAAGCCCCTTATTTACAGATGAATAAACTGAGGACTGAGGATGCAAATTGACACCCCCCCCATCTCCTGTAGACATGGGCATGGACAATTTACCCTCACCTTGCTAGGCCAGGTTGGTATTAATCACCCCAGAGACTGAGGGTGTAGAGGGTCAGACAGTACATCCCGCAGAGGGAAAAGAAGACTGAGTTTGCAGTCAGAAGACTTCCAAGTTCTGGCCCCATTGAGTCTACCTGGGTGACCTTGGGCGAGCCACTAAACCTCCCCTGGGCCTCAGTTTCCTCATCTGTAAAAGTAAAGTAGAATGTAAGCTCTATGTGGGCAGGAGCTGCTGTTTGTTTTGTCTTTCTCTCCAGAGCCTACATATGGCAGATGATTCATAAATAACTTTGGCTTTTTTTTTTAATTAAATTTTTATTGAGATTTTGTTTCTGACATCACCGTAGTTATCCCAAGCATCCTTCCCTCTCCCCCTCCCATAAAGCCGTCACATATGACAGAGAAGTATTTTTTTGAGGGTTGAAAGATCTGGTTAGTAAAATACTGGACTGGGAATCGAGGGACCTCCACTGGAACTCTCACTTAGCAGTAAGCAGTACTAAAGATCAATTAAGTTGTGTGGCCCTTCTCTGGGCTTCAGCGTCCTCCCCTGGGGAATGAAAGGCATCTACTCTGAATGAAGGGGTGAGACTGCTGCAAAGCAGGGAGGCTTTCCCAAGGCTGGCAGCATGGCGTTACGGGAAAAACAAACACAGAAACAGCATTTGTGACAAGCTTTGTAAAAGACAAAAACACTAGGGGAATTCTGAGGGTTTGTAATGACTGGTCTCGACTGTAGAAAATTCACAGTGACACCGACTTGCCTCCTCTTGGTGAAGAAGTGGGGCACGACTGGGGCAGAGTGGGGGATACCTAGGACTTCATTGTTTGCTCCCTCATTTCTTACAAGGAAGGATTTGGGCAGGTGTGAGGAGTGGTACATAGGCTGATTCATGGATTTAGAGTGGGAAGGCGCCTGAGAGGCCTTGTCAGCCACACCACTCATTTTACAACTGAGGTGCAAAGAGGCAAAATCACTTTTCCAAGATAGTGAATAGAAGAGTCTGTATTTGAACCCAGGCCTCAGACTCTAACCCAGTGCTGTTTCCACTGGGAAAGGATTGTGAGGTAAAATACAAAAGATATCAATATAAAGCCTTAAAAAAAAGAACACAAGAGAAAAGCATTTCGGTTTGTGGGTTCCTGGGGAGGTGGGAGGCCCCCTTGACATTGGGGGAGTGGCCGCCATTCTGATAGGCGACTTGCTGTGTCTTTGGTGAGCTGGCCTTTCTGTGACCCTGGTGTGAGGCACAGGAGAGGCTGGGTGTGAAAATGGTTTGTCCAAGGATAGCGGATGTGATGGTGACGGGAGACGCTGGGGAGGTCTGCTGCTCCTCTTCCTCACACCAGCTTCACTCTTCTTGTAGACCCACTTCCTCTCCTAAGGCTGTCCAAACTCCCCCCGCCATGGCACCCTTCTCTGAGCGCCCAGAATTCTAGAGCTCTGTCTTACAGGCCTCAGAATCAGAGGCTTCATCATCTTCACTCCCAGCTCACCTCACTCTCCAGATTGTCCTTGGCAGCCTTGTCCCCTGGCGATGTTCCCCTGCCCTGGGCCTGCTCTCCAACTGATGAGTCTCTGCTTGGAAGGGAGGACCATTTCTTGAGGAGGCCCAGTCACACTGCTCCCTAACCTCCCCCTCACTGCATCTTTCTAGCTCACCTTTATGTTTTGTCTTTCTCTGTTGGAGTGTAAGCTCCTTGTGGGCAGTGACTGTCTCCCTTGATTGTATATGTATCTCTCAGGTTAGCACAGTGCCTGGCACATAGAAAGCATTTAACAAATGTTCTATCTATCTATCTATCTACCTATCTTTCTCTCTATTTATCTTTTGCTATCTATCTATCTATCTATCTATCTATCTATCTATCTATCTATCTATCTATCCATCGATTTATGGCCTTCAGACAAAGATCTTGGATGTCACCTCATTTTATGAATGAGGAAACTGAGTCTCAGAGAAGTGATCGATTATATACTGTCTGATTTTATTCTCTAGTTTTTCTCCAGTATAAATTCCATCACCCCAGGCCTCTATAATGAGCTCCTAGAACAAAGCTTCTGAACTTTTTGTGTGCTCTGAGAGCCTGGGGCAGTCTGGGAAAGCCTATGGTTTCCTTCAAATACATAGGATTACAAAGGAAATAAATTATACGGAAATATAGTTATCAAACTTAAAATGTTTTTAATTATTTAAATTTATTTATTTATTTGAATATTTTAGTAATGGAGGTGGGGACAGATGCTTGCTAATTTTAAAAAAATTTTAAAATAATACGGTGTTCCTCCCTAGCCATCATCCTGGTGTGCTGTCTCCCTTTTTGAAATGTAAGCTCCTTGAGGAAAGGGAGAGTCTTTATTTTTTTCTAATGTGTATCCCTCTTACTTAATATTTGACACATTGTAAGCTCTTACTAAATGCTATTTAATTCATTCACTCAGGGCACTTAACTGGGTGGCAAATTTAAGAGCAAACTGAGTCCCTCTTCCATTCCCTTGCACCATTGAGAAAGAATCAGAGAGGTGCCTTGTCACCAGCCGGCAGGGCAAGACCCCCAGGAGATTTTTACTCCCTCCCTCAGGGCAGATATTCAGGGAGCAGAGCTTTACTTTGGGAAGGTATGAAGCTGGCTAAGCCAGATGAGGGTCAGCCATCTGGCTGGTTTTCTTGTGGACATAGGCCAAAGAGCCAGGTGGAGTCGAGCTTGTTTGGAATAGCTTGTAGATACTAGATATGCTAGGTAAATAACACTTATGTTAAAGAAAATTACTTACAAATTTTCTTTTATCTCAGTCAGTAGCAAGCATTTATTAAGTCCCTACCATGTGTCAGGCACTGTGCTAGGTGGTGCACAAGTGAAATAGCCCCTGCCCTCCCAAGAGCTTCCATTCTGCTGGGGGAGGTCAGGACTTGGCAGGGAAGAGGAGACAGGTGTAGTGGCAATCACCCGTATGTCTGTTCACAAGGAGGAGTGGATGCTGGGAGAAATGGTGCACCATGGCGGCCACAGTGGGGAAGAGCTGGGGAAGGAAAGAAAGTTCCCCAGGGGGGATAAAGAGTCGCAGATCCAGAGTGTGACTAGGAAAGCTCTCTCCCAGGGCATTCAGAAGTGAAGGGATTTAACCACTGGGTCCCGGGTCAGTCTGATCCTCCCTTCTGTTCTGTCCAGGCCCTCCCTTCCCTGCTAAACTCCACCCAAGACTTAGATCTAGGGCCAGAAGGGACCTCAGAGGCCATCTGGTTTAACTCCTTCATTTTACAGATGTGGAAACTGAGGACCAGGAAGATATGACTTGCCCAGGGTTACACAGGCCACAAGCAGTGGAGGTAGGATTTGAACCCAGGTCCTTTGACTCCAGAATGGTCTACCATTCCATATCTCCTCTCCGACTTTACTGGCTCGTTCTTTCCAGACCAACTTCCACCTGGCTACCTTTGTCACTTACTTTATCTTCTTTATTCCTGCATAGTGAGGGATTCCTTCATTCAAACAGTTATCGAAGGCCTACTATGGGCTATGTTGTGCTTTGGGGACACAAAGTAAAAAACCAAACAGTCCTTGCCTCCCCAAAGCTTACATTGTACCGGGTTATTCTAAGTGTGTGTGTGTATGTGTGAGGAGGTGTATATGTGCTCGTACATGGGAGCACGTGTATTGGGTATGTGGTGGTGGTGGGTAGGTGTGCCATGGTAAATTGGTTCTGTTGGTGTTATGTATTGGTGGTATGTGTGTGCTGATGGTTTGTGTGTGGGTGAGTGCATGTTGGTAGAATGTGCGTGTCTCTATCTGGGTGTGTCAGTGATGAAGTCAGCTCTCCAAACGTATTGACATCAATTCTGTCACTGGCTCTGACTTTACAGCTGGGAGCCTTTGGTCCATCTCACCAGGATGTCTGGGGTGACCTTTGCCCCCCCCCAGGCTCATCTACCCACTCTTGGGCCTTGGCACACCTTGCTGTCCTCTGGCTTTTCAGGGATAAACCTTCCTTTTGGACCAGCCATGCCAGAACCTTTGACTTCAGGACAGAGATCTGGATTCAAATTCCACCCAGACACTTACCATAGTCAAGTTGTTTAACTCTTCTGATCCTGTTTGCCCATCTATAAAACAGATCTAACAACCCCTCCCCAGGGTGTGGCAAGGGTTTAATGAGAGGATGTAGGGAAAGGACTTGGGAAACCTTAATGGGCCATATAACTGTCAGCTTTTATTACTTCAGTACCGAGGAGCGCAGAATCAGAGCTCCCTGGGTAGAGAAGTGAATATTTGTTCAATGGTACTGACTCCCTAGAGCCATTGAGCAAGGCCCCTGTGCACACACACTGCCAGGCTCCTGAGCAGGGCTGCAGGGACTCTGGTCGCTTCTCCCCATAAATGAAAGCTTGTAGTTGTATATGGGACGATGTGGCTGAGATTCACACCGGAAGGGCCAAAGTGGTCCGGTTGTAATCCATAGAGCTGGAGGGGTTACTCACAAGGATAATGATAAGAGCTCACATGGATCTAGGGCTTTAAAACTTACAAAATGCTTTGCACGTTGTCTTGTGAGAGAGGTTAGGGAGGTGGGTGCTGCTATTAACCCTGAACTGTTATTTGTCAGATTAGGTAACTGAGGCTGTGACCTCCCAGAACCCATGTTGTCCTGACTGCCTAGCCTATGAGACCATGGTAGCTTTGCAGAATTAGAGTCTGCGATCGTAGGCTACTGGGTGAAGTCCTTATTGTCCTAAAGGAAGGAGGAGTGGGGATCTGTTCTGGGTTCAGAGCCCAGCTGGGCTCTTTACTGTCTGGGTGACCTTGGGCAAGTTACTTCATTCCCTTCTCTAGTCTCAGTTTCCTCAGGTATGAGATGAGAAACTTGGCCTCGTTGGCTTCTAAGGCCCCCATGACCAGGGGCAGGCTAGCTCTGAAGCCGGGGGCTCTGGTCTGTCTTATCTTTCTTTGCTTCCAGGAGGTGACCTTCTCTAAGCCCGCTGCCAGCCTCCTCTCTTCCCAGCACCCACCTTTTCATAGCTCTTGCCCTCCCGACCTAGAGCATATTGTTGCCTGGCATCTAGCCACCGGATGGGAATATTGTAGACATGGTCATGGAAGAACACAGCCAGGGTGAAGGGCTTCAGTCCTTGGGGGTCTGAGCTGGGCCGAACAGTGTAGGTGCCATCCTGCAGGGAAGACCACAAGACCGGCTTGCAGGCTCCAGACTAACCCTTGCCCTCCTCTCCCCACCTCTCAACCAGCCTGGCCATCCCAGGGCCCTTTTGTGGGGGGGGGGGCTGAAGTCCAAGGGCAGTCCCCAACCTCCAAGGCAGAGGAATTCTGAGGAAAGTTAAGGGGGGGAGATAAGAGGTTAGGGTTGTCCAGACATCACCTTTTGGAGGTGAAGAAGGGCATTCTCAACAGTATGTCGGTCACAGTGTGCGGAATACCAGGGCTGACTCAGCATGCTGGCCTCCTGTGTACACAAAAATACACACCCAACACACATACACACACCCAATACACACACACACACACACACACACACACACAGAGCACAGTGGATCACACTGAAGCCAGGTGGCTGGTGGGAAGGGGTGGCTCTAAAGCAGTGGGAGGGGTGAAATAGAAACTGTTGCTTAGGACACCATAACTTTCAGAAAGGGCCAGAAAGAATCCAAAGTCAAAAAGCATTTTGACTATGGTAAGTGTCTGGGTGGAATTTGAATCCAGACCTCTGTCCTGAGGTCAAAGGTTCTGGCATGACTGGTCCAAAAGGAAGGTTTATCCCTGAAAGGTCAGAGGACAGCAAGGTGTGCCAAGGCCCAGGAGTGGGTAGATGAGCCTGGGGAGGGGGACAAAGGTCACCCCAGACATCCTGGTGAGATGGACCAAAGACTCCCAGCTGTAAAGTCAGAGCCAGCGACAGAATCGATGTCAATTCGTTTGGAGAGCTGACTTCATCACTGACACACCCAGACAGAGACACGCACATTCTGCCTACTCCGTACCAGCGAGCTCCCTCTGCTCCCCTTCTCTGTATCTCAAAGCCCTTTGACATCATCCCCACTTCTCTCCTTTAGTCTCCATGAGGAGAGAGGTGGCCCTTCTCTTTTCCTCACCAAAGCCAGCCCCTCTCTCTGTCCCCTTGATTCACCCCCTCTTCTCTCCCACGGTACTTCCCCCACCCCCCATTATCATCCTCACTCTCGGTAACCTTCTGTCTCTCCCTGTCTACTGGTTCCATCCCTTCTTCCCGCAGGCTCATGTCTCACCGATCCTTAGAAACTCTGCCTGGAGTCTCTCTCCCCTTAAACTCTCATCTCACTGAATTCTCCCCCCTTTTTAGCTGTGTACTTTCCATTTTTCCTTTCACTCACTTCCCAGCTCTCTTCAGTTTGGCTTCGGACCCCATTTTCCCACTGAAACTGCCCTCTCCAAAGTCACCAATGATCTCTCTATCACCATATCTGACGGCCTCTCCATTCTGCTTCTCACTAACATTCAACACGGTACTCAGCCCCCTCTCTTCCTGGATACCCTCTTATCTCTCGGTGCCCATGACACTCCTGGACTTGGTTCTCCTGCCTGTCTGACCCTTTCTTCTGCATTCTTGCCCTAAAGTCTGTCTTGGCTCTTTTTCCCTTCTCTCCACTCTCTCTCTGGGTGACTCCTTCAGCTCCTGCAGGTTTAATTATTACCTCCATGTAAATGATTCCCAGGTCTATAATCTATCCCTAGTTTCTCTCCTGAGCTCCAATCTTGCCTCGCCAGCGCCTGTTGGATATCGTGTACCGGACAGCTCATACGCATCTCAAATTCAGCACGTATGGAACAGAACAAAACCTTCCTTTCTTCCAACATCTCTATTTCCATTATGGGTGTCCCCAGCCTCCCAGTCCCCTAGGTTCACAATGTTGGTGCCACCCCGACCCTCCCTTGCCCCACACATACAGTCGGTCACCAAGTCTTGGTGTTTCTGACACGGCCACCACTCTATATTTGCCCCTGTCACCCAGACTATTGCTGTAGCCTCCCTGTCTCTCAGGCCTCTGCCAACTCCAAATACATGCGATTATTCTATAGTGCAGGTCTGACCTGGCTTCCCCATTCAATAAACCTCAGTGGTTCCCACTTACTTCTAGGTCCAAATGGAAGTGCCTCTGTAGACATTTAAAGTCCTTTACAAGCTATTTTTCCCAGCCTGGTTGTACATCTTCCCTCTCAAGCACGGTAAACTCCAGCCAACATGACCATCTTCCCATATCCCCAGTGGAAGCCTCCCATCTCTTCTGCATTTGCTTTCTACAAAGCCTGAAATCCATCCCACCCTCACCTCAGCCCCGATGAACCCCTAGTTTCCTTCAAAACTCAAATATCACCTTTTCTGATCCCCCCTTCACCCATCTGGGGGAGCCTTACCCCTACCCCAAATTATATTTCCCTTGCATGTATTTTGCATATGACTCAATGTATGCATATTTTCTCCTCCATTAGAATATAAACTTCCTGAGTGCAGAGACTTTCCTTGTTTTTCTTTTTACCCCTGGGTCATAGTAGGCACTTATTAAACATCTACCAATTAATTAATTGACAGGTATGATTTCATCCTTTGTCTTTGCGTCTATGAATATTTAACAAATGCCTGTCGATTGATTGCTAAACCCTGGTGATACAGAGAGAAAACCCAATAGTCCCAGATCTCTGTTGGTGCCAGAGGGGAAAGCAGGAGGCCCCCAAAACAGGAAAGGGCGGGGCTCTCCCATGGGGCTCCCCTCCTTATTCACTCACCTCATCGGCAGGGGTATTCCCCTTGAGTGGATTCCTCCCAGCTGAAGGAAGGGGATTACAGGGAGGGGCTGGGGCAACAGAAAATGAAAAAATGAGAAGGCTGGGCCCTTAGAGGCCATCTAAGGTCAGCTCCTTCTAGGTCTGGGTGAGGAAACTGAGGCACAGGTTGGGAAGTGTCTTGCCCAGGGTCACATGGCTACTAAGGATCAGAGATGGGACTGGAATTCAGGTCTTCCCGACTTTAAGGCCAGCACTCTCTCTACTAGATGGGTTTTGTTGGGGTTTTTCTGTGCAGGGGCAGGGGCAGGGGCAGGGGCAGGAGAGACTCCCGGTCTGATATGGAAAGGGATTATGTGCTCAGGGATTCCCAGAGCAGAGCCTAGCCAGGGAACAGCAGGGAGCATGAAGCCCTTTGTGAATCAGACCTGGAGGGGTGAGGGGCTTCTGATCCTGACTTTCAGTACGACCTGGCTGGGCTGGGGTGGGAGGGGGATGCGCCTGGGGTCCTGGATGAAATTGTCATTCTCACCATTGCAAGCCATGTCTGCTGTCCCCTGGAATACAGGAAGTAATGTTCAGGTCAGTTTCTGCCTGTCAGACCCTCCCTCCCTCTTGAAATAGGCAAAGTCCCAGACTCCAGCCTCCCTTCATGGGTACCCTGCAAGCTGCCCCACACATTCCATTTGTTTCCTCTGTTGACATATGGGTTCGAATTTTAAAAGCACACATATATGCACATATATATGAATACCTGGGCCGCAATAACAGTGCCTTTTTTGTGTATTATTGATGCCTTTTGTCTTTACAGCAATGTCATTTACAGAAATGCCCCACCCTGAGTCTTCCTTTGCGACAAAGAAAATAGTCCAGTAAAAGCAACACCAAGCTTAGAATTCCACACCTGTGTCTCCTCCTCTCCCCCCACCTCTCACTCCCCTCCCCATTCTCCAACCCTCGGGCTCATTCACTTTTTGTCAAACTCACACTCCGAGCTTCCTGGGGGACCGAAGTGGGCTTGTAGGCAGATCTATGAAAGCAAATTGGGGAATTAGGGTTAAGGGCCCCTGCATTAGAAGAAAGATCCCAGGGGATCTAGAACCCTTGGCTTTGGCATCTCTCTGCCACCCCCAACGCCTTCTCCCCTGGGAAGAAAAGGGCTGTTTCCAAGCCATCCTTATCCTCCTCCTACCAGAACCTGGAGGCTAATGCTGGGACTTTGGCTACTGACAGGTGAGTTTTCACCTCATCTGGAAGGACACCAGGGTTCTAGGTCAAGTTCTTGGCTCTATCCAAGCTAAGCCACTGAGGGTCTGCATTCCCCTGTACCTCTCCCTCCAACATTTCTAGCTTTCCCTTATTGTTGTCTTCCACCATTAGAATGTCAGCACCCTGAGGGCAGGGTCTGTCTTGCTTGCTTGTATTGGTATCTCTAGTGCCTAGCACATCGCCTGGCGGATAGAAAGTAAACACTTAAACACTTTCCCACTCATTCATTCATTCATTCATTCATTCATTCATTCATTCATTTTTTCACGGTAGCAAGGACCAAGGACATGAGCGATCATTCTGTCCTCTGGCCCCAGCCTTGGGTCATCTGAGATGGGAGTAAGCAGACAACTCACCTGGGGGTCACTGTTGGTCTTGGGATCATGGTTGGAGGTGGTGGGGCCTGGGAACCCAAGTCCTGGTCTAAAGGTGAAGGAAGAGCAAAGAAAGAGGTCTGGACTTGGCTCACATTAGATGGAGAAACCATTGGGGGATGGGGAGGGGCTAAGAACAGCACCCTGGGCCTGGCTTGACCTTCCCATCCATCCTAGTTGGGCCTGAGCAGTATGTGGAGGACAGGGTTATAGACCTGTAGCTGGAAGGAACTTTAATGTTCCTCTAGTCCAACATTTTCAAGTGAGAAAAGTGAAGCCCAGAGAAGAGAGTGAATGAAACAGCATTTACTAAGGGTTTTCCAGCTGCTAAGTGCTGGGGATACAAATGGCTAAGTGAGGCAGTCCCTGCTCCAAGGCAACAATACATAGAAGATAATGATGGCCAAGGAAATGACTTGTCCAGGATCATGCAAGTGTTAAGTAGCCAGGGTAGCATTCAAACCCAGCTCCTCCAACTCCCAAGCCAGCAAGCTTTCCTTTCACTGGTCTACATTTAGAGCTGGAAGGGGCCTCTCTCCTACCAAGCCTGACAAGATGTGGCCCTGTTCTCTAGGCCTTCTACCTGGTATGGCTTTCCATATTGGCAGAGAGAAAGGACAGCCCCTTCTCCCAAAGAAAAAGAGAGAGAGAGAAAGAGAGGGAGAGTGTGTGTGTGTGTGTGTGCATGCGTGTGTTTGTGCATGTGTGTGTGTGTGTGTGTGTGTGTGTGTGTGTGTAGGGAATGAAAGGGGATGGGCCACCAACAAGTCAGCAAGTCTGCAGGGAACTGGAACAAAGCGGGGAAGCCACCCCAAGAGACTTCCCGAAGGTCTGGAATGGGTTCTGGGAAGAGAGAGGCAGAGAGGTAGGGCTCACCTCGACTGGGTTCCAGGTAGATGGCTTCCTCGGAGTCATCTCCTCCAGCTAGATCCTAAAAAAGAGAAGTGTGAAAACAGAGGAGATGGGAGAGGAGAGGAAAAGGCCAAAGGCCCAGTTGTCCTAATCCCCACAGAAGAAGCACTGTGGTGACCAGGCCTAAGCAGCACAGCATTCTCCTATCTCAGGATATCTGTGACTTTACCTCTCTCCTCTCCACAGACACCCATTTGTGTCCTAAGATCATACATTTAGAGCTGGAATCAACTTTAGAGGTCATGGAGGCCAAACCCCTTATTTTACAGAAGAAGAAACTGAGAGGTGAGGTCACTGGCCCAGGGACACAGAACTAGGAAGTGTCTAAGGCCAGATTTGAACCCAGGTCTTCCTCAGTCCAAGTTCAGGGTTCTAACCATTGTGTCATGCTGTCTCTCTTAAGATATTTATGAGACAAAGCTTAGGGAGGGGAGGTAGCCATTTCACTAAGTCTCCTCCCTCCATTCTCCCTCAGGAAGGTCGGAGGGCTAAAGGCTGTACTGGGGATCTCTCCCAGGGAGGTTTCTGGAACATACTCCAGTGACCTCTAATGGGTTTCATGTGCCTGGGGCCCAATGGGCGTTGTCCCCTCCAGGGACTCATGGACTGCAGGATATCTGGGAGCCAGCTCTGGGGACGGTCACTCCCCAGGTCACCCCAGAGGATGAGTCCTTTTCCCCTGGGGACAGAAATCCAAATAACTCCTATATTCATGATGAAGCCCCTCCTTGTCCTACCTGGGCCCACCCTAGTGGGTAGGTGAACCTCTGCTAAGTCACCTTTTGCAGGGTGAACCTACGCTTTCTGTCCAGGGAGAGACTCAGGGCTGGGCTATGAGCCAGGATCACTTAGGTTTGAATCCTACTACAGGCTCCTGGTCAATTCCCTTTCCTTCTCTGGGTCTCCATTTTCTTCTCTGTAAAATGAGCCAGAGAAGGAAATGGCAAACCGCTCCAATATCTTGGCTGAGAAAACCCCAAATGGGGTCACAAAGAGTCAGACCCGACTGAAAAGGCTGATCAACAGCTACCCAAGCTATTGTTATTACAGGGAATGGCAGGAACCCGCCCTCATACACCATCTAGAGGCGTGCCAGGCCTTCTGGGTCTCTCCCTTTCAAATTCCCTTCTTAAAGTCCCAAAGTGTGGGAAGAGAAAAGGCCAAGATTACTCACTGTGCTCCCAGATGCCGTCGGATCTGTAAGGAAAAAAACAGATTCAGGTGCTACAGAAGAGAGGAGACATTGAATGAAGGAAGCAAGCTGGGTGTTTATCCCATTGGCCTGTGGGCTCCTTGAGGGCAGAGCCTCTAATCTCTTGGTAACCCCAGTGCAAGCCCCTCCACTTGGACCGTGGTGAGCACTTCAGACAAATGCTTGGTGTCTTGTTGGAGTTCTGGCTCACCCATAGACTCTGAACAGACACCCCCAAAGCAGATTTTAGATACTGTTCGGAGCAAATGCCCTTCATTGTAAAATAGGTTTCATTTCCCCCTTCTGGAGTGACAGCTTTGAAGGATAACACTGATTTATTTGAATTATGAGTTTGAATACATCTGTTAAAAACAGAACCAGTCCCTGGTAGAATCTCAGAGCTCTATGAGATGCTAGGGAGAAAAGGCAGGAAATTGCTGTGGAGGGGTCCCGACTCCCTTTGCATGGACCTAGGAAAGAGAGACTCCCTCTCTATGGTAAGGTGTTCCCTGTTCCTACTACAAACATCTTGTCTCAGTGACTTGTCTTGAGTCCTGAAGGCCTGGAGCTCAAGGCTCTGTTCTCCTGGGACAGGAACTGACTGCCTCGTTATGAAAGATTTTATCTGGGTGTACTCTTGGCTCTCATCACTGCGGCCATTTTCCCCCTAGCCCACGGGTCTCAGGGAAAGAGCTCTGGTTGGGAATCAACAGACCTGCATTTGAATCCCAGGTCTACCATGAATTGAGCTATAAGATGGTAGGCGCATCTAGATGGCACAGTGGGTAACAGTGAGGAACTTGGAGTCAGGAACACCTGAGTTCAAGTCCTCCCTCAGATACTTACTGGGCAAGTCACCTGCCCTTCTTCAGCATCAGTTTCTTCATTTGTAAAGTGGAGATGAGAAGAGTACCTACCACTAATAACGTCGTTGTAAATATCAAATGCAAGGATGGGTGGAGTGCTTGGCAAACCTTAAAGTGCTTTATGAATATACATACATATATATATATATATATAATATATATATATATATATAATATATATATATATATATATATATATATATATATATATATGTATGTATGTATATAGACTTTAGTTTCCTCATCTTTCAAATGGGAATAATACCAGGTACTCTACAAGCCACACAGGGTTGTAGCTGGGCAAATTGAAGGGACTGCTCTCTGTGAGGGGAGAGAGGGAGAGATATAAAGGGAATTCTAGGCAATGTAAAAATGAAGATATCAATAAAAATGTGTTTTTACAAACTGTCTAACAGAGTTGCCCAGGCCACTGAGAGATTAGGGACTTGCCCAGGTCACCCAGACAGGATGTGTCAGAAACAGGAACTGACCCTAGGTCTTCATGATTCTAAGGAACTAAGGGAGGCAGGGAGGGAAGGAGGAAAGAAGGAAGGGAGGGAGGTAGGAAGAAAGGGAGGGAGGGAGAAAGGAAGAAAGGAAGGGAGGGAGGGAAGAAGGAAGGAAGGGAGGTAGGGAGGAAGAAAGGGAGGGAGGGAGGGAAAAAGGAAGAAAGGGAGGGAGGGAGAAAGGAAGAAAGGGAGGGAGAAAGGAAGAAAGGGAGGGAGGGAGGGAAAAAGGAAGAAAGGGAGGGAGGGAGAAAGGAAGAAAGGAAGGGAGGGAAGAAGGAAGGAAGAGAGGAGGGAAGGAGGAAGGGAGGAAGGAAGCCTTCATTACATGCTTCCTCTGTGCCAGGCGCTGTGCTAAGCTCCCTGTTACTCAGCTATTTACTCTGGTTGTCATTCTCATATTCGATGCGGTTCTGATAGAAACAGTCCTCGGGCAGGATCTTTTATCATTTGGAGGACTTGCACAGGTGGATAAGATGATTGCTCTTTGCAATTGATTAAAATATTATTAGTATTTTAATCTCATTACCTTTTCCACCAAAGTGGTCTCCTCCACCCACAGCCTCCTGTAGGCTCAGGGCAGCCAGCAGCTGTGGGAAGAGAGCCTGAGTAAGAGAAGCAGGTAGGAACGGGGGAAGAGGAGCCAGAGGTGATGTCACTTATGGGGAAAAGGCAGAGACGACAGAGGAGGAGTTGGAGCTTGGCATCTGTGTGACAGACACAGCCGAGTCCTGGGAGACAAAAGCCAAAGTCTGCTTTTAGAACCAAAGGACCTGCATTCAAATCCTGCCCCTGACACCTATCACCTGTGTGACCCTGGACAAGTCACATGGCCTCCCTAGAGCTTGGTTTCCTCTACTGTAAAAATGAGGGAGTTGAAGGGATCTGGGATCCCTTCTAACTAGCTCCAGGATCCCCAGAAGTTCCTGGGAAAGGATCCCAAGGTCCTAGAGGCAAAGCTGGGAGGAACTTCAGAGCCCACTTTACCCAACCCCCAACCTTTTCTCTTTACAGATGAAGAAACTGAGGCCTAGGAGTGACTTGACCAAGGTCACATAGGTTGTAAATGATAGAGGTGGAATTTGAACCCAGGTCCTCTTACTCTGAATCCAGAATGGGAATTATTGAATTTATTTCTATTCCAAGGTACCCGCCTGGCTCTTCTATCCTCCTTCTGCCCTTTGCAGACCCTCCCAGGGGAATCTGCAGCTCTATGAGGGGAATAGTCCTATTGTATTGTTTCACTTTCCCTTTTGGTGTGTGTGTGTGTGTGTGTGTCTTCCTCTTCTAATCCAATATTCTGTAAAGAAGATTGCTTTAAAAAGCCATTATCCCATTCCATGGGCAAGAATATTGGTGGAGTCGAGGTGGGATGGCCTGGATGGGCTCTGGGTGACCTTTATTACAGAGGATGCTTCAGATGCCTGACTTCTTCATCATGCCAGGAGGATTGAAGCGGGGCCAGGACCCAGCCCAGGACCCAGCCCAGGGAGGGAGTGTGTGTGTGTGTGTGTGTGTGTGTGTGTGTGTGTGTGGCTCAGGGAAGGAACGATGGAGCAGAAGAAGTCAGGGATAGGGTGGGGGTGCCCAATGGTCAGAATGGATATCAAAACGAGGGGGTGATGGGACGAAGGAACACTGTCATGAGGGCTGGGGGACGAGGTAGTTAAAGAATCGGAGTGGAGGGAGGAAGGAAGCAGGGGAGATCTTTCTAGCAAGGACAACCACAGAAGGCTGCCATGTTGTTTTCTAGAGCTCTGGTTCTCTACTCCTCTTCCCACCTCCACCTTGGAGGCAGAGTCCTTCAAATGTAAATGTAGGGAAAACAGGCGGATGAGCCATTTCCTGGAGGTGAGGGGTTGGGGATGGGCATTCCAGGGGGAGGGGCAGAATCTAGGCTGCTCACCGCGGTGGGCTGGAGCATAGGCTTGAGAGGTCCAGGGGTGATGGATCGATCTGGAAAAGAGGACCGTGCCCCATGTGCTGGCCGGTAGCCACTCAGACCCCAAGCCCCCCCCCCGTTTGCCATTTCCTCTCTCTGCCCCCCTCCCCATGCTGTCGGATGCTTCCCTAGCTCTTCATGCCCCTCAAGCCCCTCCTGCTTTCCCTTCCTGCCTGATCCTGCTTCCTGAGAGCTGCATCACCATGACAACAGAAGGAGGCCAGCTCCCCCGCCCCCTGACTCCAGTCCCTCTGGGCAGCCAGATGCCAGGTCCTGTGAGCCTCTTCTTAGGCAGCTGAGAGAGCTCTGCTGCTGCTGCTGTCTCTCCAGAGCCCCCTCTGGCTCCCCTCTCCCCAAAACACACCAAGTTCATGGTTCCCCTGGATGACCTCAGTGATGGACGGGATAGAGGCAAGGTCGGGGAGGGGTCTGTGCCAGGGCCCTTGGTTATTGTCTAACAGTTTCCATGGTGATGCAGGGCTCCCCCTCGCCCTTGCCAACAACTCCCACCCCACCCCATTTCCTTGTTTCCAGCCTGGGGCTGACTCCCTGCTCTCCTCCCCCTCCCCACCCCCAGCAGCCTGAGGCTCCCTGGAGTGAGAGACAGTGAATGGCTCCTTCAGCTTAGTAGGAAGAGGGACCAAAGCCCCATCGGGATGCAGGAGCCCAGGGAGGGAGGGAAAGGAGGGATGGAGGCAGATAAAATCCCGAGGATCTGTTTCTGAGGCCTCCCCGCCACTGGCACGATGCTGTGTTAACCTTGCCCGTCCACCCCCCACCCCCACCCCATCAGTTCTCACCCACATAGAGCTGCTTCTTCTCCAGGGGGAGAGGACAGGCAGGGGCCATCTTGAGGGGCAGGGACTCACAAGGAGGAAGCTCATATTCTGCATCTCCATCATCTTCCTCCTCAGCATCCTTCAGGGGAGAGAGGGACCAATGAGAGACGGGGAGGACATGAGGCTGGAGGAGAGGGTGGGAGTCTAAGTGGGAGGAAGTAGAAAGAAGATGGGGGAGCAGACAAAGATGGCAGGGGCTGGGTAGAGGGAGCAAGAAGATGGGGGATGGCTGGAGCTGAGATCAGGACATGGCATGGGGGTGTGGCAAAGTACAGGATCTGAGCAACCTTACCCACTGGGGGTGGCAAAGTACAGGAATCAGAGCAACCTTACCCATTGGCTCAAAAGCCCAGGAGAACCAGAGGAAAACAAGATGAGAGCTTCCTCTTTCCAAGATGGGGAAACTGCAGGAAAAATCAGCTTCTTTCTATTACCTTCTCCCCCAACCCTGCCTAACTACAATCCCCTCAGCTCTGTAGGCCTGGGTCCTTTGCCTTGGAACATCATGACATACTGTGTGTTTCCTCCATCAATTATTCAATCTAGTGGCATTTATAAAATGTTTGCTATGTGTTAAACACCGAGCAAAGCATGGAACCGCAAAGAAAAGGCAAAAACAGACTGCTGTCTCTACAGGGGCTTTCAATGTCTTAACCCAAAGGCATGACTAATGAATGATGGGAAGTTTTTAAGATATCCCGGCAATGCCAGAGAGAAAGAGACTGGAGTGGGGCTGCTTTCTAGCACCCTTTGAGAGGTCTGCCTACTCTCTAAGACAGGACTTCCCAGTGCTGGTGTTGGGCAGCCCAGGACCTAGGGAGCCCAAATGAGGAGGAAAGGCCTTCTAGTTTAGGGGGGCCTTATCTCCCCATGCAGGCATAGGTTCATAGATTCAGAGGTGGAAGTGACTTTAGATCCTATCAAGCCTTCCTCATAACACATCTGAGGACCCTGAAACACAGAGAGAGGTTAAGTCATTTGCTCCTATGAGTCTGAGGCAGGATTTGAACTCAGATCTTCCAGCCCAGAAATTTAGCCACTTCTCACCTGGATGTTTCTCTCCTCTCCGGTGCTTACCCAGTGATCTGGGGGGTGGCAACGGAGGCAGAGACCTGCAAGCAGATGCTAATTAGTTCCTCCCAAGGAGGCCCCAAGTTACCAGGCTGAGGGAGGGCTCAGACTGAAAAGCTCAAGCCTCCAGGGACAGAGATGGGCCACTGCAAAGTCACAAACAGGTTCCCTATAGGATGGTGGATTCACATGGAAAGTAAGAGGGGAATAAGGGTAGAGAAAAAGTGGGGGATGGAAACTAATAGCATTAGTTCTGCTTTGGCCCTTGCCAGGGGGCTTATGGGAAGGGATGGGCTGGGGAGAAGAAGAGGGGAGAAGGAAGGAATAAGACAGGACATTACTCACTGGGTCTTGTTTCCACTGGGTTTGTCCTGCAAAGAACACAGGGAGGAGGGTGGCAGAGGGCATGGGTGCCCTGGCTCCCCTCCACCCTTCCCAGGAGTCTGAAGGCCTGGCCTCAGGCTTGGAGCTGTCCCAGGGAAGAAACATCTTACCATGTAGGGGAGCTGAGGATCGAGTGACTCCCCAGGGCTCCAGCCCTGGTCTTTTCAGAGGAGGCAGGACCAGGGGAACAGGCACCCTATTGTTCCCGAGATTTGCATCTCTCCAAGCCACAGGTGAAGGAATCCTAGCACCAGGAAGGCCAGTGGACCTCAGCTCCCCACCCTGCTCCCTGCCCCCAGCACCCCTCCCTCCCTCTTCCTCTCTCAGAAAGGTGTGGCTAGCACCCCAGAACTGTATTTGGTCTGGCTCCTGATCCAGCCTGACCTCGGGGGTCCTGCTGCTCACCCCACAAATCCAACCCACAGTCCTGTCCAGCGCTGGGGGCACCTCATCTGGACTATTTCAATATTCCCTCCCGGCCTCCAGTCTCTTCCTGCTCCAACTCGTTCTCCATTTGGCTGCCACAGGGACATCCCTAAAGCACAGATCGGACCATATCACCCTCTCTCCTCCCTCCCCAGCTCCATAAACACCAGTGACTCCCCATTCCCTCCAGCATCATTTAAAGCCATTTATGATCCAGATCCTTCTTCCTTCTCCAGTCTTCTTCCATCCTGGCCTGTGTGCTTTTGTACACAAATCTCCATCTCTCACCTCTTCTTTACATCAGATCCTTAGTTTCCTTGCCTTCAAGACCTCAAATCTCACCTTCTGCAGGCGGTATTTCTGAGTCCTACCAGCAGCTGGCTAAACTGACCATCCATCTAGCTGTGTATACAGCTCATAGATGCCTAGTTCTTTACATGTTTAGAATGAGCTATTTGAGAGCAGGAATTGATTGGGCCTTTCTCTGTGTCCTCACTCAGTGCCTGGAAGATACTAGGCAATTAATAAATGCTTGCTCATTGATTGACTGACAGAAAGTAGCCCTGCTGCATTCCAGCTCTCATTTCTTCTTCCTGACGAGGAAAGTTGGAACCAACTTGGAAAGAGGAGATAAGATGTATTAAGGTTGGGAGCAAATTATTAAGTTACCCCTCAAGGATCAAAAGATGGTCTGGAAAAGGTGGTAAAGGCTCTGCTCTGGCACAAGGGGATTTCCCCTGACATTTTTATTTAAACATTTTTCATTTGTTAAGTCATTTCTCAGTCATGTACAACTCCCTGTGACCCCATTTGGGGTTTTCTTGGATGCGGAGGTGGTTTGCCATTTCCTTTTCTAGTTCATTTAACAGATGAGGAAACTGAGACAAACAAGGTTAAGTGACTTGTCTGAGGTTGGATTTTGAACTCAGGAAGATGAGGCTTCCTAACTCCAGGCCCAGCACCCTATCCACTGAGCTGCCAGGCTGCTCCTTTTTTTATTTAAAATTATTTCATTTTAACATAAAAAGAGTTTCAGTTAAAAGATGGTTTTAAAAGAAGGGTTTTCTGAAGCAAAATGGATAATTTTGATTACATTAAATTGAAAAGTTTTTGCACAAACAAAGCCAATGCAACTAATATTAGAAGGAAGGTAGAAAATTGGGAAAGAATTTTTACAACCAGTCTCTCTGATAAAGGCCTCATTTCTAAAATATATGGAGAACTAAGGCAAATTTATAAGAACACAAGCCATTCCCTAATTGATAAATGGTCAAAGGATATGAACAGACAGTTCTCAGATGAAAAGATTAAAGCCATCTATAGTCATATGAAAAAATGCTCTAAATCAATATTGATTAGAGAAATGCAAATCAAAACAACTCTGAGGTACCACATCACACCTATCAGATTGGCCAACATGACAAAACAGGAAAATGATAAATGTTGGAGAGGATGTGGGAAAATTGGAATGCTAATACATTGTTGGTGGAGTTGTGAAATGATCCAACCATTTTGGAGAACAATTTGGAACTATGCCCAAAGGGCTACAAAAATGTGCATACCCTTTGACCCAGCAATAGCACTTCTAGGGCTGTATCCCAAAGAGATCAAACAAATGGGAAAAGAACCCACATGTACAAAATCATTCATAGCAGCTCTTTTTGTGGTGGCAAAGAATTGGAAATTGAGAGGATGCCCATCAATTGGGGAATGGCTGAGCAAGTTGTGGTATATGAATGTAATGGAATACTATTGTGCTATAAGAAATGATGAATAGGCTGACTTCAGAAAAACCTGGAAAGACTTATATGATCTGATGCTGAGTGAAGTGAGCAGAACCAAGAGGACTTTGTACACAATAACAGCCACATTATGCAATGACTAAGATTGTTAAACTGAACCCTTCTCAGCATTATGAGGATCTAAGACATCTACAGAGGCCTCGGGATGGAAAATGCTATCCACATCCAAAGAAAGAACTATGGAAGTCGAATCGCTATCACTTATTTTTACCTTCTGTTGAATTTTGTTTCATCTTTCTGATGGTTCCTCCTATTGGTTTTAATTTTTACTTACAACTTTACTAATGTGAAAATATGTTTAATGGGTATGTAAATGTAAAGCCTATATCAGATTGTGTGCCATCTTGGGGAGGGTGGGGGGAGATGAAGGGGGAGAAAAATTTTCAACTCAAAAGCATATGGAAGTGATTGTTGATGAATCAAAATAAATTAATAAAATTTTAAAAAAATAAAAATAAAAAAGGGTTTTCTGGCTGCTCAGGCTGGGAACATTTCCCAAAATGTGTCTGATAAATGTCATTGCTTTCAGAAAATCTTAATTAAAGGCATACTTTCTGAAAGTAAGATACATGATGTGCAAGGTTTATTTATCAATAAACATTTATTAAGAGATTATCATATGCCAGGCTCTACGCTAAGTTCTGGAGACACAAATGTGCACCATATGTGAAACTGTCCCTGCCCTCAAGGAGCTTCTATTCTATTCCTTATTTTATATGTTTATTTGCTTGTCTTTGTTCACTAATTAGAATGTATGGCATAATAGGAAGATCCAGAAGACCTGGGAGGGAGTGTGGGACACAATGGATAGAGTGCCAGACTCTATTTGGGAAGGCTTGGATTCAAACCTTGCCTCTGACAATTACCAGCTGGGTAGCTATGGCCAAGTCATAACTTCTCTGAACCTTTGACCCTCTTTAAGGCTTGTCTATCAAGTTGGAGATAGACCAAGTCCTTGGATTATAGATTTGGAGCTGGAAGGGTCATTATAGGGCATGGAGTGCAATCCTCCACATTTTGTAAGAATCGAGGCCCAGAGTGGTTAAGTGATTTACCCAGGGGCACACAGGTGGGAAGAGCCTCAGATAGAACCAAGAGTTTTTTAGCCAACTCTAGCACACTGATCATTTCACTGTACCAGATCTGCCCACACCAAGAAAGTCCTAGAAATGTTGACTTGTTTATTGATAATCATCAATGGGTGTGTGTGTGTGTATAACGTCTCTCCCAGATATCTCTACCTATGTGGACTTCTGGAACTCATCATGTCCAAAAGACAATTTATTTAGATTTACCCCCAAATCCACCTCTCTTTCAAACCATTCCTGGCACCATTTCCCACCTCCAGACTTTTGTACAAGCTGTTACCCATTAGTGGAATGTACTCCCATTTCATCTCTGCCTCAAAGAATCCCTAGTTTCCTTCAAGGCACATCTTCAGTTCCACCTCCTACGTGAGACCTTTCCCAATCTTCCCCTCCCCTTAGTTACAAGCACTGATCCTTCTTAAAATTATTTTCTAGGTACAGATTGTACTCTTCCTTTACCAGTTAGACTGGAAGGCATTAGGGGCCAGGAAATGTCTTTTTTTCCTTTTTATTCCCCTTTTCCATCAGTGACTTGCACGTAGTAGGCACTTTATAAAGATGCTCATTGAATTAATCTCTACATGTTCGGCCTCATGGCTGGCAAAGGCCTTGACTGGGTCAACATGCATCTTCCATCTGGCCTCTACCATGGCAAATTCAGGCCCTCTTTAATTTGATCAGGTTCCCTAGGGGCAATCAGGCTCAGGGAAAATGATTCCCGATAACCAGTCACAAGAGACTAATTTGTTAGTCAGTTTATTTCTTTATAATGGGAGGGCTCTCTGGCCAGATAAGCAATATTAGCCTTGAGAAAGCCCAGGTTCCCCTTTCCTGGTGGGTGAGTTCTCAGATCAGAGATCAGGAGCCCGCCTGGTGAGTGGAGGGCTGAGTCAAGAGAGCTGGGATGCAGGATTCCTAAGGGGGAATAGGAAGAGTCTGTCCAGCTCTGGCTGGCTGACAAATGGCTCCTGTTTTTTCTAGCCCTTAAATAGTGTAGACCCTTCCCCTTCTATTTTTGTGCTACCTTGACCTTCAATGTACCCCTCTCCTCCCTCCTTTTTTTAAAAGATTTTATCCATTTTAGATGGTTTTCTTCTTGATTCAGGTACAAATCCCCTTAGTAACCCAGCCCCCTCTTACCTTTCCAGTCTTCTTACACCTTAGCCCCTGCCATGTACTCTTTGATGCAGGGACATTGACCTCTGGGCTGTTCCAAGAACGAGACCTCTGTGTCTCAGCTCCTCATAGCTGTCCCCCTTACCTGGAATGCTTTTCTTCCTCCCCTCCCTCTACTGACCTCCAGGTTTCCTTTGAGTTCCAAGCCAAATCCCACCTTGTCTGGAAGCCTTCCCTAATCCCTCTTCATTCCAGTGCCCTCCCTCTGTTAATTATTTCCTATTGATCCTGTACAGAGCTTGCTTTGCATATATTTGCTTGTTGTGTCCCCAAATTATATAATAATTGTATTATGTCATATCATATATCACATCATATCATATTATATTAATCTCCTTGTTGGCAGGGGTTGTCATTTGCCCCTTTTCTGTTTCCCCAAAGCTTAGCACAGTGCCTGACACATAGCGGACACTTAATAAATATTGATTGATTGATTGATCCAGGGATATTCTAGTCTTCCTGATTCAGCTTGAGGGACTCCAGTTTTATCAACAGTCAACCATCTTACTGGGGGAGGAGTCCTTTGTAGCCCACTGGTTTCATCCATTTCTTTTTTGACTCCGATTGGAAGTTCTTTGAGGACAGGGCCTGGCTTAGTTTTTTTTGTTTTGTTTTTACCTTTGTATCCTAAGGATGAATGGACATGTTTTTAAATTTCTTTGTTGTTCTTAGTTGTGTCCTACTCTTCATGACCCCGTTTGGGGTTTTCTTGGCAAAGATACTGGAGTGGTTTGCCATTTCCTTCTCCGGCTCATTTTACAGAGGAGGAAACTGAGGCAAACAGGGTGAGGTGACTTGCCCAAGGTCACATAGCTAGTGGCAGAGGCTGATTTGAGCTAATGAAGGTGAGTCTTCCAGATTCCAAGCCCAGTGCTCCATCCACTGCACCGCCTAGATGCTCCAGAATGAATATTTACTGATCTTAATGTGACCGTCTTAGATTCTAGACTGTGTTCTCCGTATGGGAGCTCCCTAAGCAGTGGCTAGTTGGTGCATTGGCTGGAGTGCTGGACATGGACGCTTAGTTAAGTCACTCACCCCTTTTCAGGCTCAGTTTCCTCATCTGTAAAATGGGCACCTACCTTCCAGGGTTATTGAGAAGATCAAGCAATATAATATTTGTAAAGCACTTAGGGTACCTGGCACATAGTAGGCGCTTAATAAATGCTTATTCCCTCCTGCCAAGCACTAAACACCAAGTAATGGAACAAGAGGAGTAAGAAGAGTGCTTTACACAACCTTAGGAAAGGGATTCTGGGCTCTGACAGGCGGGGGCCTTTCTCCTTATCCTGCCCAGAGCCAAGGAACCAAACTTGTCCCCACCCCCACCCATAGGCACCCTGCCTGCGTTATTCCCCCCCCCCACTGGAGAAAGTAAGCTCCTTGAGGACAGGAGCTTGCCTGAGTGCCCAGGCTGAGAACAGCACCCTGCACCTGCCAGCCACCTGGATGCTTTTTCATCCTTCACATACAGCTCAGGGATTCCAGCACTTCTTAGGAGGCATTACACGAACGGAAGATTAATAATAATAATACATCTCACTTATCTACTATCGCCTTGTTTGCCCAGCCCTGGAGCAGCATTGGGATAGATAGCACCCTTCCCAGTGTTCAAGGTTTTCAAAAGATCAGTTGAGTTCAACAAATATTTATTTTTAAAAATTATTATAAAATTAGCAAAACTATAAGATAAGAAATAAAATTCCACAAATACAAGAGTGAAACAAATTAAATAAAGAAAAAGAAACTGGTAAAAGGAAGGGAAGATCAGAGCAGCAGAGGAGAGACTGGACCAGCTCTGAAAAATCCAATCAGTTGGTGAGATGGAGAAGACAATTCTCTCCCAATGGGCTTCCTTGGCCTTCCTTGGCCTCCCACTGATGGGGCTGGATACCTTTCTCCTTTCCACCACTGGGGGTGTGAGTAGTGTTCAGGAGGGCACTCCTGTCACCCTCGGGATTTGGGAAGGAAAGCAGGAGGAATTTGGGGAGATGGTTGGAAGTAGAGCGCTTTATGTGATCACAGAACATTGGAGGGGTTCTTGGGTTCTGGTAGGGTAGAGGGTGGGAGAGTCATTGGGAAAGGAGTATGGGTGGCGGGGCTCAAGTCATCGATTTCATATTTCGGGTATTATTCCATGTCATCTCATAACTTAAAATTCCTTAGCACTTTTCCTTGCTGTTTTAGGGGTGGGTGGAGAACAAGCAAGACTGTGCTGGCAAACATTTAACAACTGGCTCTCTGAAAAAAAAGCACGATACACTTTTAAGTTTAATTTTCATTATTTGACATTCACCATCAGTTTCTTTTTCTTTTCTTTTCTTTTTTTTTGTTGAGATTTTTTGTTTTGTTTTTTGCTAGGCAATGGGGTTAAGTGACTTGCCCAGGGTCACACAGCTAGGAAGTGTCAAGTGTCTGAGGTCAAATTTGAACTCAGGTCCTCCTGACTAAAGGGCCTGTGCTCTATCCACTGTGCCACCTAGCTGCCCCTCCATCAATTTCTTAATTTCTGAACAATCAATGGAAAATACATTAATCCCTGACTTGGAGTATTTATAGATTTACCAAAGTGTAAAATGCTCCCATTCAAGATTAAACAATGAGCTCTAGCCAGCTGGGGTCACCTTAGGATTTGTGGGCTGAACATCCTCTGGTGATCTGAGGAGATGCTACAGCCTTGTATTACAGGTGCACCAAAGAACAGGCACGGGGGAGGGCCAGGAGAGTGCCACCTGGTGGACATCTCAGACACTGCACTCCTTCATTGGCTAGTTAATATGGTGACTGTGCTTTTCTGTAGGCTTGAGGAAGACAGTAAGGAAGACATGGCCTCATCTGCAGCCCACTGATGCAGGGCCCAAGTGTCGTATGATGTGCAGACAAAACATGGCATGGATGCAAGGTAATCCGAGGAAGGTGAGAGGGAAACAATCTAGACGAAGGATTTCCATGGAGGAAGTTTGTCTCTGGTTGAACCTGAAGGCAGACAATGGTTCTGAGACGCAGAGCTGTAGGGAGAGTACAAGGGCATATCGATCTCACTGCCCACTCCTCCTCTGAATCCTCACGGGACTTACCACTGCTTGCTACCCTGAGTCAATGTTCACTCTTTCATTTCATCCATCTCTGTCTCAGGGTCTTTATTCTTCCCCTCCTTGCCATTTGCCTATGCAAAACCCTTGACACAGAGAGAGCTACTGGGCAGGCAGAGAAGCCTAAGTGATGGAAAAATTGTGCCTTCTTTGTGTTTGATCTGGGCACCTCCCAGGTCCCCAGTGTCCTAGGGAAAGGTCAGTAACAGGGAGGAGCACAAAGTATGCCTGTGTCTGTGACGACATGACCCATTCCTTGCTGTTGGGGGAAAATGATCTGCCTTGTGACTAGAGGAACGTGATAATTTAAAATTTGTAAGCTTAGGGCTAAGCCCCATCCATTTTCCTGAGAAGGCATGAGCCAGCCTGCCAATGACTCATTGTCTGGAGACCCTGGGGATGTGGGTGGAGCCCTCGACTAGGTCCCCAGGGCAAAGTAGGAAATATTCACCAACAATCCTATTTTTCAAGCTTTCCAGGTCAAGTGGCCTGAGAACCAAAGCTTGCCAGAAGTTTGCAGGCTTAATGGGAGGTTCAAGACAGGGCACCCATTAGATACCAGAAATGAAAGGAAATCTATCTGGGCCAAAACTCTTCCTGATTATCTTCCCATATCCTGAAGGTGACAGCAGAAAGTCCTGAATCACTTGTCAAAGTATATTTTTAAAATTTCCTTTTTTAGTTTCTCTAGAAATATTAAGAAATAGTATTTCTGAAGCTTTAAAACCCTTTCCAGACTTTTCCCTTTGGAAAGTGGAAAGAATGACAGTCAGAGTCACCCCTTGAAACAGAGTAAGGACGATAACAAATTTAACTCTGGTCTAGGTGAGATGATTGCTTCCCCACCTGAGGACACCTCTTTTGAACTTCAAAGCTAAGATATTGGTCACTGGAAGGAACTCTCATTCATTCATTCATTCATTCATTTATTTGTTTGTTTATTCATTCATTCATTCATTCATTTATTTATTTTTAGTTTCAACATTCACTTCTATAAGATTTTGAGTTCTAAATTTTCCTCCCTCCCTCCCTGCCCCCCTCCCCAAGATGGCATGCAATCTGATATAGGCTATCCATGTACAATCATATTAAACATGTTTCCACATTAATCATATTGGGAAAGAAGAACCAGAACAAAAGGGAAAAACCATGAGAAAGAAAAAAATTTTTTAAAAAAGAGAAAATAGCATGCTTCAATCTGCATTTAGACTCCATAGTTCTTTCTCTGGATGTGTATAGCATTTTCCATCATGAGTCTTTTGAAATTGTCTTGATCATTGCGTTGTTGAGAAGAGCTAAGTCTATCAAAGTTAGTCATCACCTAATGTTGCTGTTACCGTGTACAAGGTTCTCCTGGTTCTGCTCACTTCACTCAGCATCAGTTCATGCAGTTCTTTCCAGGCTCTTCTGAAGTCTGCCTGATCATCATTTTTTATGGAACAATAACATTCCATTACATTCGTGCACCACAGCTTGTTCAGCCGTTCCCCAATTGATGGGCAGTTGGAAGGCACTCTTGAGGAGAAGATCCAGGGAGGAACCATTGAGTGGAACCATTCTAGAACGGAACTCAAAATGGTATTTTAACATTTTATGATCCTTTCCTTGTTTAAGATTCCTAGAAGTGCTACCTGAAATTTTGCTGGAGGTAGAGAGTCATACTGGAAGGTGGGGACCTTGTCAACTTGAATTTTACTCTCTCTAAGTTAGAAATGGCATGGAGATTAGTGATAAGTTCAATAAAATTGTTTCTGGCATGCTTGAGCCTAAAATTGCCAAGTACATTATTAGTATTAAAATTTTTTTTCTTTACCACTTGTACCCATGGATCATGGAAAGGATTACAGGAAGAGGTACCCAGCCCCCATCTCTTGGGAAGTGAGAAAGCAAGGGAAGCCCATTGGGACAGAATTGTCTTCTCCTCCATCTCACCAACTCATGGGATTTCTAAGAGCTGATCCAGTCTCTCCTCACCACACACTCAGGGGAGCACAATCTTAGGCCTTTCTCCTCTGATCCCTATCACTGGCAGACCGAGTCTCAGGCCACAGCAGCCTGGCACTGCCAATCTCCAAGTCTCAGCCCATTTGCCATGGAGCTCACATGGCAGGCAGGACAAAGAAAGGAAAATGAACTCCCCTCCTGTACATTCCACCCGCACCCTGCCATGTGACTCCTTGCCCATTGGGAGAACAGGCTTGGGGCTGGATAACTTTCCTGTGCCAAGTTCTTACAGCTATGAAATGATGCTGCAGAAACAGCTGCTACATTTCTTAGTCTGGGTCTCTGTTTCTTCCCAATAGAACGTACAATGTGAGCTCCTGGAGGACAAGGGGCTGTCACTATTTTCTGCCTTTGTGTCCCAGGCTCTAGCACACAGTAGGTGTTTAAGAAATGCCTGACAAATTGATTTGAAGGCTTTATCTTCTCCCCTGCCCCAACCCTACCCACAGGAGAATGTAAGCCCCTTGAAGGCAGGGATTGGTTCTCCTTGGCTTTCGTACATTTGAGTTCTTGCTTAGTGCCCTGTACCTTTCAGAAAGCAGGCAGCTGATGAATGTTTAATTGAATTGAATTGTCTAGAATTGTGTACTGACCAACTGGCAAGATTAAGGTCAGACTCAACCTCATTTCTGTTTCTGCGCCTCACTTTCTCCGTCAGTGACACCAAAGGCCTGGTACTTTCAACAGAACCCAGGCAACTCTTCCTTGTGTAGAACACCAACTTTGGGCTCATTCTTTTAATTTAGGGTCGGGTCCCCAAAGCTCATTTACTTCTCCCCTCAGGGCTCTAGTGGGGTAACCTTTAGAAGTTGCAGGGTTGTTTACCGCTGTTGCTGATGAGACCTTATCTCCCCAATATAAATTTTGACCAGCTGATCTGTCCTCCACATCAGTTCACCAATTAATATCAATTAGCTTTTACAAAGAGATACTTATGGAAAAGATACAGCAAGGACTAAAACATACAAATCTCTGAACAGAGAGCCCCCTCTCCTTCATCACCTTCATCACCTTCATCCCCGGGGAGAGCGGACTCAATGTTACAATGACTAACATTCTCCTTAACAAGGACACTTCCGGGTGGGGCACTACTGAAGAACAAGGCAAGGTGCCACCTTGCTTGCAGGACAGTGTATCTCACCTGCTGCGCCAACCCTCAAGCAGGTCATGCCTCCTGGCTGGCTTGCCACTGGCCTCAGCTGCCGTGACCATAGCAAGATTCTTATGGATTCTAGTTGCTGGACCTCTGGTAGCTCTTCCAACCTTTTGAAGATCACAAGGTCATAACCTGTCATGTAATAAACATTTATAAGCAAATAGGTATTTATATTTATGTTATAACAACAGTTCAGTCATTTTCAGTCCTGTCCAACTCCTCATGACTCCTTTCGGGTTTTCTTGGCAGAGATCCTAGAGCAGTTTGCCATCTCCTTCTCCAGCTTATTTTATAGATGAGGAACAGAGGCAAACAGGATGAAGTGACTTACCCAGGGTCACTCAGCTAGTAAGCGATTGAAGCCATATTTGAACTCAGATTTGACTCCAGGCCTGGCACCTAGCTGTCTCAAGGATTTATATAGTGCCAGGTACTCTGCTAAGCACTTCACAAGTATTATTTTATCCTTACAACAACCCCACGAGCCAGGTTTGGCTAAGTGATTTGCCTATGGTCACATAGCTAGTAAGTGTCCAAGGCTGGGTTGGACCTTAGGTCTCCTTGACTTCATGGTGGGTGATCTATCCACAGTGCCACTTAGCTGCCTCTAGGCACTGTGCTAAGCAGCAAAAGAAAGTCTCTACCCTCAAGGGGGCTCACAGTCTAATGGGGGAGACAATGTGCAAACAAGATACAGGTATGCTGGATAAATCAGAGATAATCAGTGGAGAGAAGGTGGGTCCACTCTTATTTCTGATATTCGTTCAGCTGGGGTCAAAAAAGAATAAGCATAAAAGAGAATGAAAAGCAGCAGAATCATGCATTCATGGCCATGTGGCAGGTGAAAGAAAGAGAGAGAGAGAGAGAGAGAGACAGAGAGAGACAGAGAGAAAGAGAGCCTGAGGTCCCTTTTCCCAACTGGAGGCCCCTATTCCTTCCTCCTCACTAGAAAGCCACCAGGACGGGGGTGGGGGTGGGGGGCGGGGTAGGAAGAGGAGAGAGAGAAAGAGAGCTCACTTTTCTGTTCAAGCAGCACGTGTTCTAAAGCAGGGAAAAGGTCTCTCTATTCCACACTCTCAGAAGTGGCTTGTCAAGAATGACACCAGGCAGAGCGTATTGTGCATGCTCTAAGGACTGGGCTCTCATTGGCCAGTCTTCCCATTCTGCTTGTTTATGCTTTCAACACACATTAATTATTTACCTTGCAATAGCACTAGCACGCACAAAGTAAGGTAGGTCGCATAGCCTGCCCTTGAGGGTCTTACAGATGTATTGGAAGAGAGAAGATAAATGGAAAATGAAACATTTAAATACAGTCAATCCTCAACTTTGGGGGGAACGTCCCTCGGAAAATGGCATGAGAGTAAAAAATGCAAATGTTGATACGTTGAATCTGTGAGAAATAGGGGCTAGGTTCCTGCAGCACCCCCAAACTGTAATCTTTTGCTAGTTGTTGCGGGAAATAGACTTTCTTGCGAACAATTCTTTACAACAAAACATTATTTCTCATAATACATACTTTTCCCTACACAATAACCATGAAATAACCTATAAAATGCAGTACACGAAATAAAATTGGTAACACACAAAACATATTTTCTTGCTAATCATTCCCTAGAATTCTGTGATCTTGTGTGCTAATATCTCAATTTTAGAAAACCACATTGATTTCAGACAATAGTTATTTATAATGTATGACATCTATGGTACCATAAATATTGTACAACAAATAAAATTCTTAAAACAAAAACATTTTTAATCTGAATTTTACCTTCCATGTGTCAGATGGTGGTATGGGGGCATTGTACTATATACTATACTGCTGTGAACCTCCACCTTGGCTGCCCTCTGAAAACCAAAGGAGAGACTGCTGGGACTTCAGTCACTGCTGTCAGAAGTGGAGCCTGGCAAGGTCTTGACATCACCTCTGACAACTCTGTCCTTCATGACTGGCGGAAGGTGTTGAAGACAGAGAGGGACCCACCAGCTTGAAATAATCCCTCAGGGCGTCTGCTTCCTGAGTTGTTTGAGATCCTTAAGGGTCTCAGAGTGCAGGAGCATAGCAGAGATGAGTCGATGTGAGCCTTGAGGCTGCCATCGATGTCTCTAGCCAGCCAATTATGCCAAGCCGCCCGTCAGTCTTGGAAGCCATGAGTGGTGCAATCTTTCAAGTTTGCTCGTTGTCAGTGTCTTTTCTGTCCTAAAGACCTTCCTGAGCCATGGTGGCTAACTCCTCATTCATCAGCTCCTGGGGTTGCTCCTGCAGAATGTCAGAGACATCTCGAGACATCTCACTCTTCCATATCCTCAAATGCTTTTGCCTCTGATGGTGTGTGCTAGATGCATGATTGCCTCAACATTCCACCTCACTGTTTCTTCAATACCTTTGACGCCTTCAAAATCCAGGATTCAAGCAAGCCACACTTTTTTCCAGCAGTGTTCAAGATGGCCTGTTAAACACCTCCATAGGCTGCAATAATGCAGTCGGTGACTGGAAGCACAGTGACAGGTTTCCAGAAATCCATCATGGTGGTTTCCAGCTTTGCTTCCAAGGAGTTGCAAGTATAGCGGTAGATTTTCCACTTGAAGGTTTTTATGATTCTTTGATCCATAGGCTGGATCAAAGGTGTGGTGTTGGGTGACATAAAAACAATGTCTATGTTTTCATGGGCATTTTCAGCTGCTCGCAAATATGAAGTGGTGCTTCATCGAATATTAGAAGAACCTTGAATGCAAAGCTTTGGAATGAAGTGACTGTTGAACCCGTCCCAAAAGATCTCTTCAGTCATCTATGCTTTTCTGTTCCAGCTGCTATGTGCCAACGTTCTAGCATTTTTTTCCCTTTCAAAACCCTGGGATCTGGGCTCAGTAGATCATCGGTGGCTTATGCTTGAGGTCTCCAGGGGCACACAACAGTAGGGCCAAATGATTTTTTAAAACCCGGAACCCAGGCTGTTAGATGGCGGCTTTTGTTACATATGTTCCCTTTCCTACCTGTTTTCATAAGCAGACCAATCTCACAGGCAATAAACATTTGTTCTGGTAGGTAACCTTTTTTTCTCAATCGTCGTATTCAACGTGTTCTGAAACTCGGCAGCAGCCACAGCATCAACAGAACCAGCTTCACTACAAAGTTTCACATTTTTTAAACCATACCATAACTTCAAATAGTAACCCAGCCTTGGCTAGCTGCAAAAGGCTTCACATTTTCTGGGCCCTTTGTTACACGTCTACAAATTTGTTGGGGCTTCAAGCGCGTGGTTAGTCGATTGGTTTTGATCCTTTCACCATCTCATTTACCCACAAACTTAGCTGCTTTTCCATTTTTTCAATTCCCTCATTGCACTTTTGAGAGAGGTTACTTAAGCACTTTCTAGAGCCAATTCAAGAGCACTTTTTTTTTTTGGTGAGGCAAAACTGGGGCTAAGTAACTTGCCCAGAGTCACACAGCCAATAAGTGTTATGTGTCTGAGGCTGGATTTGAACTCAGGTCCTCCTGACTCCGAAGCTGGTGCTCTATCCGTTGTGCCACCTAGCTGCCCCTCAAGACCACTCTCATGAATACTTTCCTCCTTTTTGTGGATATAAAGAACCATCCATATTCTACCACCAAACTCACAGTTGATGACGTCTACAGACATTCTGGCACCTTTATTTTCTCATGAGCCCCATCACTGCCTTGCCATGCTTTGGGGACAACATCACCACACAAAACTTGAGTTTTACTGTAAACAATGGACATATACAACACCTGCATGGGAAGCTCTTTATGAAGCGCCTATTAGGACACCGACCACTTCCCAAACTTGTGGCGCGTGGCACTGCTCATTTTTCTTCTCTAATGTGCATAGCCAGGAATGCGTACAGTTGCCAATGAGAAAGTGAAAATGAACTTACTAATAAAACCATGTAAACGCTTGAAGTTGCAAAATTTAAATGCTCAAATGTTGAGGATTGACTATAATAGTATGAAAAAAACCTGATTGTCCATTAATGTGATTGCAGCTGAAGAATACAGGTAACATGCCCCTGACTTCTGAAGGAGACTGAAATGATAATAGACAATCAGTCAATCATTTGATCAATAAACACATACTACGTGCTAGACACTGTGCTAAGAATTGGAGATACTAATAGTTATTAATAATAGCTAACATTCATATGGCACCTACTGTGTGCCAGTCGTGGTACTGTAAGAACTAGAAATAGAAGCTGTTTGTGTGGGAAGAGACCTGGACTTGGAGTCAGCAGGATGTGGGGTAGAGGTTCAGCTTTGATGCTTGCTAGCTATGGGATTTAAGATAAGTCACTTCCCTCACTGGGTTTCAGCTTCCTCATCTGTAAAGTGGAAATGGTAATATTTGTGCTATCAAAGATCCCAGGCAGGCTATGAAGGAAGGTCTGTGTAAACTTGACTTGGCACAGAAATGTCACTTGGGATTATAGTGGTTGGAAAGACTTCAGGGTCAAGGAGGAGTCCAGAGGACCAATGATCACGTGTGCTGCCACCTCTTGACAGAGAGGGAATGGACAAAGGGTGCAAAATGAGACTTAAATTTACAGCCAATGTGGGAATTTGTTTTGCTTGACTATACGTATTTGGTAGAAGATTTTCTTTATTTTTTTCTCTTTTTCAGCAGAGGAATAAGACAGAGGGAGAAAAAAAGGTTTTTCATTGGGAAAAAAAATCTAATTTAGGGTTAGATTTAATCCTAAAATTTATTTAGAGTTCCAAAAAGAAAGGTTTCGTGAAGGGAGTGGGATTTAAACTGGTCTTTGAAGAATTTTTTATGGGAGTCAGGGTGGATGTCAGTTTTGCAAAGAAATGAAGGCTGGAGTGAACATAGTAGGGCTACAGAACGAGGCTCAGAGATGAGGGGAGATGGTGAGGAAACTAGCCTGACCAGGGGAGGATACTGATATAACAATAAGCAAGCTGAAGAGGTCAGATGAGGAGGGCCTTGAGCTCAGGGCATAAGAGGATGAGCTGAAGGACCTGAGGGTGTTTAGCCTGGAGAAGAGCAAAGATTGAGAGGCAGTGGAAAGAGGAAGAGGCAATGGGCTGTACCTGGTAGAGGGATCAGACTTGTTCTACCCAGCCCTGGAGGGCAGAACTTGGAGAAACTGGGGGGGGGGAGGCGGGGCAGAGGGAAGTTGAATAGAGGCAAATTTAAGCTTAAGTACAGGAAAAATTAAAATAAAAACCTCCTGTCCCTTAGAGCAGTCCAAAGCAGACCAGACTGCGTCAAGAAATGGTGAGTTCCCCTCGTTAGAAATCTTCAAGCAAATCCAGATGACCTCTTCTCTATTGTGTTGAACTAGAGAGAAGTATGGGCAGCTAAGTGGCTCAGTGGATAGAGCAGGGCCTAGAGTTCAAATCTGGCTTCAGACACTAACTAGGTGTGTGACCCTGGACAAGTCACTTAACACTGTTTACCTCAGTTTTCTCATCTGTTAAACAAGCTAGAGAAGGAAATGGCAAACCACTTCAGTGCCAAGAAAACTCCAGATGGGGTCACCGAGTAAGATACAAAGTTTGGGTTGGACAAGATGGTCATTGAGTTTCCCTCCAACTCTGAAATTCTGTGATTTTTATTCTGAAAGAATCAGGAGCTATGGAGGATTTTTGAACAGAGGAATAACATGATGAAAATGGAGCCTGAGGAAGATTAATTTGGCAGTAATATGCAAGGAGAAACGGGAGGCAGGGAGACAAGTTAAGAGCTTATTACAATAATCTTGGAGAAGATGAATGCCTGAATAATACATGGAAAAGATGGACATAAAAGACATTAAGAAGAAAGATTCTGCAGAGCCCTAGATTTAGAGGTGGAAGAAATCTCAGGCATCATCGAATCCAAGCTCCTGGTGCATGAGAGATGAAGGAACTGGGAACTTAAAACCATAAGATCCTAAATCTCAATCTGGAAGGGATTTTAGAGAACATTGGTTCAACCCCTTCATTTTACAGTCAAGGAAACTTAGAACCAGGAGGTAAAATGACTTGTCTAAGGTCTCCTAGGTAAGAGTGGCAGAGCCCAGATTCAAACCTGGGTCCTCCAGGCACAGACCAGACATCATTTTGGCTCTGCCATTTTAGG